TTCCCCAGCATCATTGTCTTCTCTAAGCTTTCCTTTCTTCTCATGATGTGGCCAAGTACTTCATCTTTGCCTCTACTATCCTTCCCTCCAATGAGCAGTCAGGGGCTTCATTTCCTGAAGTATGAACTGGTTGGATCTTCTCGCTGTACAAGGCACTCTCAGAACTTTCCTCCAGCACCACAGTTCAAAAGCATCTATCACCTCTCAACAAAAGATTGCTCCAGGCACTGCCAGGTCATCAAATGCTAATCAAGGTGGTGAGTTGAAACATTCACACCTAGCTCCAGCAGACAAGAGTCCTTTGTCTCACCCTGGTCATTCCACAGATATATAAACCCCTTTTTCCTAGTTCCAACAGACCTCACTACCTCTGAGGATGCTTGCCATAGATGTAGGCGAAATGTCAGGAGAAAATGCCTCTAGAACATGGCCATATAGCCCGAAAAAACCTACAACAACCCAGTATCTATCTTCCTTCGCTCAGCCTTCCCTATGGTATGGACTGGTTGGATCTTCTCGTGGTCCAAGGCACTCTCAGCACTTACCTCCACCATCCCAGTTCAAAAGCATCTCTCTTCCTTCACTCAGCCTCCCTTACGGTCCAGTTCTCACATCCTTAGGTGACTATGGGGAATACCATTACTTTTACTATGTAGACCTTCATTGCTAGTGTGATGTCTCCACTCTTCACTATTTTATTGAGATTGGTCCTTGCTCTCCTCCCAAGAAGGAAACATCTTCTGATTTCCTGGCTGCATCTGCAGTAATCTTTGCACCGAGAAATTCAAAGTTATCACGGCCTCCACATTTTCTCCCTCTATTTCCCAGTTGTCAATCATTCTTGTTGCCATAATCTTGGTTTTTTTGATGTTTAGCTGCAACCCGGCTTTTGCGCTTTTTTCTTTCACCTTGATTAGAAGGCTCCTCAGCTCCTCCTCGCTTTTGGCCATCAAAGTGGTGTCATCTGCATATCTAAGGTTGTTATTGTTTTCTTGCAGCAACCCCAGCCTTGCATTTGTCAAGCCCCGCACATCTCATGATGTGTTCTGCATACAAGTTGAATAGGTTGGGGGAGAGGATACAACCCTGCCGTACGCCTTTCCCAATCTTGAACCAGTCTGTTGTTCCGTGGTCAGTTCTGACTGTTGCTACTTGGTCCTTGTACAGATTCTTCAGGAGAGAGACAAGGTGGCTTGGGATGCCCATACCACCAAGAACTTGCCACAGTTTATTACGATCCACACAGTCAAAGGCTTTAGAATAGTCAATAAAACAGAAGTAGATGTTTTTCTGAAACTTCCTGCCTTTCTCCATTATCCAGCGGATATTGGCAATCTGGTCTCTCGTTCCTCTGCCTTTTCTAAACCCAGCTTGAACATCTGGCAACTCTCGCTCCATGTATTGCTGGAGTCTTCCTTGCAGGATCTTAAGCATTACACATTACCTTACTGGCATGAGAAATAAGGGCCACTGTACGGAAGTTGGAGCAGTCTTTCGCATTTACCTTTTTTGGTATGGGGATATAAGTGGATTTTTTCCAGTCTGATGGCCATTCTTGTGTTTTCCATATTTGCTGGCATATGGCATGCATTACCTTGACAGCATCATCTTTCAAGATTTTGAACAGTTGGCTGGGATCCGTCATCTCTTGTTGCCTTGTTGTCAGCAATGCTTCTTAAGGCCCATTCAACCTCACTCCTCAGGATGTCTGGTTCTAATTCACTCACCACACCATCAAAACTATCCTCAATATCATTACCCTTCCTATACAGATCTTCTGTATAGTCTCGCCACCTTCTCTTGATCTCCCGGTACTGCTACAACTCCCATAATCCCATAGTATTGAGTCATGCCAGTTCGGGTGGCGTCAAACTGCATTAATTCCACTGTGTGCAAGGCTTTAATGAGATGCAAAATAGCCTTAAGAACCAGAAGGATGACATCACCCCGAATATATTAAGTGTATATATTGATTTTTTCTGCAAGGCAGTTGATGCTTTTGATTTCTTAACTTTGGGAAATGCTTGCACGACATAGGCCACTTGCCATTATCTAGCAATGGAATTAAATAGCATTCTGCACATGCTCAGATGCACCATTTCTCTTTTCTTTTCTTCCTAGATGTTTTGTGCATAACTGAGATTTTCAAAAAGAGCAAAAGACACTCTGCACATGTTCAGGCAGCACTTTTCTTACCACAAATGAAGACAATTGTTGTGTAGGGTTGCAGATAATAGGAGAAAAAGGGGGAAAGTATTCTGCACATGCTCAGAGGCACATAATAAAATGGGAAGGAAGCAATGGAGGAAAGAATTCAGGCTGCTGCATTTGGTGGTACCACATTTTACAATCTTCATTGTAATATGGGTGTATCACTTTAAAGAGGCCCCGCCCCTTTTTCTAGGCCCCGCCTCCCATGGATAGGGAGTAGGAGAAGGAAATAATTCCCTTGATTGACGGGGCAGAGCGGCTCAGGCCACGCCCCCTACGAAAGCCCCTCCCCTTTTTGTTTGACACATGCCCCGCCTCCTTTTGGCAGGTCGAGGAAAAGAACTCCACACACACACATTGCTTCCCGCCTTAGCACTTGATTGACAGGTTGGTCCTCAGTAAGCCCCTCCCCTTTTGGCCTTCTTGTATTTAAATAGGGGAGGCGGGTCAGAAAGAAAGAGAGACTTGCCTTTTTCCCGCCTCAACGCTTGATTGGCGTAGGGTGATGTCAATCAGCTCCTAAGAAGCGGGAAGAAGAGCCCACTCTGAGATGCCCCGCCTTCAGGCTTGATTGACGTGGCGATCCCTAGTCAACTTCTAAGTGGGTAGGCGGGCTTTGACGGTGGTCCCGCCTCCTGGTGTTCTCGTCACTGATTTTACAAACATGAGCCCGTCAGAAGCCCCGCCTCCAGCCTTAACCAATAGGGGCCCGTCTCGAGGCCTGATTGACGTGGGACAGGCTCCACCCCCTTATTCAACTTTCAAGTGGTAAGGAGGGAAGAAGGGCTTTGGAATTAGCCCCGCCTCCTGGCGTGATTGATGTGATCCAGTCAGCCATTTAATAGACGGGATCCGTCAGGGAAGTCCCGCCTCCAGGTCCGATTGGCGGGAGAGGCCTGATTGACGTGAGAGAAGCCCAGCCTCAAGGCTGAACCGACAGGGGCTTGTCAGATAAGTCCCGCCTCCAGATTTGATTGACATGAGAGTCCTTCACAGAGACCGGCAGGACTGAAGACCGACAGGTCGGAGGTTCGAATTCTGTGAGAGCGCGGATGAGCTCCCTCTGTCAGCTCCAGCTCCCCATGCGGGGACATGAGAGAAGCCTCCCACAAGGATGGTAAAAAATCAAAACATCCAAGTGTCCCCTGGGCAACGTTATGTAGACGGCCAATTCTCTCACACCAGAAGCGACTTGCAGTTTTTCAAGTCACTCCTGACACGACGTGAGGGAGTCCAGGCCTCCAGGCTGAATTGACAAGGAGCCCGTCAGAGAAGCCCCGCCTCCAGGCTTGATTGACGTTAGAGTCCTTCAGAAAGGTCCCACCTCTGGGCTGAACATCAGGCGCCCCTCAGAGAGACTTGATTGACTTGATAGTCCTTCACAGACCCTTCGCCTCCTCAGGCCTGATTGACGTGAGAGAGGCCAGGCTGAACCGATAGGAGCCCGTCAGAGAAGCCCCGCCTCCATGTCTGATTGACGTGAGAGAGGCTCCAGGCTGAAGCCCGTCAAAGAAGCCCCGCCTCCAGACCTGATTGACATGAGAGAGTCCAGGCTGAACCGATAGGGGTCCGCTAGAGAAGCCCCGCCTCCAGACCTGATTGACATGAGAGAGGCCAGACTGAACCGACAGGAGTCCGTCAGAGAAGCCCCGCCTCCAGGCCTGATTGATATGACAGTCCTACAGAGGCTGAACCGAGAGGGCTCCACCTCCAGGCCTGATTGACGTGAGAGAGTCCAGGCTGAACCGATAGGGGCCCGCCAGAGAAGCCCCGCCTCCATGTCTGATTGACGTGAGAGAGGCTCCAGGCTGAAGCCAGTCAAAGAAGCCCCGCCTCCAGGCCTGATTGACATGAGAGAGTTCAGGCTGAAGCGATGAGAGCCCGTCTGAGAAGCCCCGCCTCCAGGCCTGATTGACGTGAGAGAGGCCCGTTAGAGAAGCCCCGCCTCCAGGCCTGATTGACATGAGAGAGTCCAGGCTGAACCGATAGCAGCCCGTCTAAGAAGCCCCGCCTCCAGACCTGATTTATATGAGAGTCCTACAGAGGCTGAACCGAGAGGGCCCCGCCTCCAGGCCTGATTGACATGAGAGAGGCTGGCTGAACCGATAGGGGCCCGTCAGAGAAGCCCCGCCTCCAGGCCTGATTGACATGAGAGCCCTCCAGAGGCTGAAGCGAGCGGGCCTCGCCTCCAGGCCTGATTGACATGAGAGAGGCCAGGCTGAACCCATAGGGGCCCATCAGAGAAGCCCCGCCTCCAAGCCTGATTGACATGAGAGAGGCCAGGCTGAACCGATAGGAGCCCGTTTGAGAAGCCCCGCCTCCAAGCCTGATTGACATGAGAGAGGCCAGGCTGAACCGATAGGAGCCCGTTTGAGAAGCCCCGCCTCCAAGCCTGATTGATATGAGAGTCCTACAGAGGCTGAATCGAGAGAGCCCCGCCTCCAGGCCTGATTGACATGAGAGAGGCCGGGCTGAACCGATAGGAGCCCGTTTGAGAAGCCCCGCCTCCAGGCCTGATTGACATGAGAGAGGCCAGGCTGAACAGAGCGGGGCCAGTCAGAGAAGGCCCGCCTCCAGGCCTGATTGATATGACAGTCCTACAGAGGGCTAACCGAGAGGGCCCCGCCTCCAGGTCTGATTGACGTGAGAGAGGCCCAACCTCCAGTCTGAAGCCCATCAAAGAAGCCCCGCCTCCAGGCCTGATTGACATGAGAGAGGCCAGGCTGAACAGAGCGGGGCCAGTCAGAGAAGCCCCGCCTCCAGTCCTGATTGACGTGGCGCCGCCAGAGAGTCCCCGCCCCGTTGTTTACCGGGCCTGAGGAGCAGAAGAGGCGTCGTCGGCGCCGGGAGGAGCGGGCTCGGGCTGGCGCTGCCTCCTCCTCCTCCCCTTCCTTCCTCCCTCCTTCCTTCCCCGCCTCCATGTTGTGTCCTGAGGGGGCTGAGGCAACGGCGCCCTTTTCGTGGCCGAGGGGAGAGGGCGGGGCGGGCGGGCGAGCAGGCGGGCGGCGGAGGAGGCGGCGGAAGCAGCAGCAGCAGAGACGGCGGCGGCCTGAGGAGCTTGGCGGGCCCTGAGGGGAGAGAGGGGAAGCCCTCCCCACCCCTTCCCCACCTTCTTGGCCTCTCCAAGGGGTCCCTGAGCGAGAAACATTGGGGATGAGGCCTATATCGGATTCCTCTTTGGGGGGGAATGGTGCCTGCTTGGGTTGCTTTGGTCAGGATCTTTGGGAGGAAGCAATGAAGCAATGAGGGGCCTTGGGGTGAGATTCCCAAGGAAGGAATGACGTGAAGACTCCTTTTTGGGTTGCTTGGCTTGTTTGTTTTGCTTTCCTTCCTCTCTCTCAATATATCATTTTGAAAGGAAAGCTCCAAAATTAGGACAGATTGAGGGGTGTCCCCCCCCCTCTCTCTTTTTCTGCCTCTTGAAACCTATCCTGCATTTCAATTTTGTGCCTGTGGCAAGGATTTTGGACTGGCATTTGGGTTGGCATTCTTCTTCTACGCCTTCTGTGATCTTTTGGATGTTTTGAGAACTCAATTCATTGAAAAACAACACAAGAAGAAGAAGAAGGGACTTGTATACATACGCCTGCTGCCTTCTATTACATTTTTTTCAAGCTTGGCTTCATTCCTGGAGGAGTGTTTGCTTTTTCTCTCTCCATTTCTCAACATATTATAAACCCGCCTATTGATTTCCTCAAAGGAAAATAGATAATAATAATCCTACATTTTGAAAAGAAAAAAAAAGACACGGAGAAACAGACACCAAACCTGCCTCCAATTGATTTCCCAGATAATAATAATCATACATTTTGAAAAGGAAAAAAAAAGGACGCGGAGAAACAGACACCAAATCTGCCTCCAGGAGGGAAATAGCCAGGTGAAAACAGCACTCAGTTTCCATGGACAACCCGTCCATTATCACCCAGGTGACTAACCCCAAAGAGGAAGAAATCCTGTCATGCTCTCAGGATAAAGGTGAGAAACTCTACTGTTGTAATGGTTGGCTACAGGTATTGAGGAATCCTGTGGCGCTGTTCTAATATTCCTTTCCACATGCCTGCGTGCCTGTGTTTTTTCTAGGCTGAAGTTTTTTGGTTGTGTAACACAATGAACCTCTTCTGCTTACAGTTTTGTTGAGCCTGGAAATAAAAACACGCAAAGTACTGGGTTGCTGGCAGTTTTCTGAACTCTGATGATGCTTGCCATAGATGCAGGCGAAATGTCAGGAGAGAATGCCTCTAGAACATGGCCATATAGCCCGAAAACCTACAACAACCCAGTTTTCTGGGCTGTCTGGCCATGTTCCAGAAGCATCCTCTCCTGACATTTCACCTACATCTATGACAGGTGTCCTCACCCTGAAGGGGACTCAGAGTGGCTTACAATATATATTTTCATACAATATATTATATTATTAGCATAGTACAATATCAGTATTATATATTACTATATTGCACTCTACCATTATATCGTAATATTATTAGTAATATTACATGTAATGTAAATATATAATTATAATATTGTATTATAATAATATTGTATTATTATTACTAGTATTATATTGTAATACAGGAGCCCCTGGTGGTGCAGTGGGTTAAAGCCCTGTGCCGGCAGGACTGAAGACCGACAGGTCTCAGGTTCAAATCCGGGGAGAGGCGGATGAGCTCCCTCTATCAGCTCCAGCTCCTCATGCGGGGACATGAGGGAAGCCTCCCACAAGGATGATAAAAACATCAAATCATCTGGCCATCCCCTGGGCAACGTCCTTGCAGACGGCCAAGTCTCTCACAACAGGAGCAGTCGCTCCTGACACGACAAAAAAATAAATAAAAATTATATTATTATTATTATTAGCATAGTACAATATCAGTATTATATATGGAGCCCCCGGTGGCGCAGTGAGTTAAAGCACTGTGCCAGCAGGACTGAAGACTGACAGGTCGCAGGTTCGAATCCGGGGAGAGGCGAATGAGCTCCCTCTATCAGCTCCAGCTCTTCATGCGGGGACATGAGAGAAACCTCCCACAAGGATGATAAAAACATCAAATCATCTGGGCATCCCCTGGGCAACGTCCTTGCAGACGGCCAATTCTCTCACACCAGGAGTCACTCCTTACACGACAAAAAAAAAAAAAACAACCTGAAGGGGACTCAAGAGTGGCTTACAATATATATTTTCATACAATATATTATTTTTAATTATTATTATTATTTTATAATTACTATTATTTTATTAGCATAGTACAATATCAGTATTATATATGGAGTCCCTGGTGGTGCAGTGGGTTAAACCCCTGTGCTGGCAGGACTGAAGACTGACAGATCGCAGGTTCGAATCCGGGGAGAGGCGGATGAGCTCCCTCTATCAGCTCCAGCTCCTCATGCGAGGACATGAGAGAAGCCTCCCACAAGGATGATAAAAACATCAAATCATCCGGGTGTCCCCTGGGCAACGTCATTGCAGACGGCCAATTCTCTCACACCAGAAGCGACTTGCAATTTCTCAAGTTGCTCCTGACATGACAAAAAAAAGTATTATATATTACTATATTGCACTATACCATTATATTGTAATATTATTAGTAATATTACGTGTAATATAAATATATAATTATAATTATATTATTAGTAATATTACTTGTAATGTAAATATATAATTATAATATTGTATAATAATAATACAATATTATAATATTGTATTATTATTACTAGTATATTGTATTACAATATAATACAAGGTTGAGGGGTCTGTTGGAAACTAGGCCAGTGGGGTTTGTATAGGGCATCAAATTGTTGCTGGCTGTAAGCCGCCCTGAGCATCCCCCCCCCCCGGGGTTTGAGAAGGGCGGGGTATAAATATTTGAAATAAATAAATAAATATGTGGAATGTCCAGGGTGGGGGAAAGAACTCTTGACTGTTGGAGGCAAGTGTGAATGTTGCAATTGGCCACCTTGATTAGTGGGTTGTTGGGAGTTTTTCGGGCTGCCTGGCCATGTTCCAGAAGCATTCTCTCCTGATGTTTCGCCCACATCCATGACGGGCATCCTCAGAGGTTGAGGGGTCTGTTGGAAATTAGGCAAGTGGGGTTTGTATATCTCTGGAATGTTGGAGGGAAGTGTCAATGTTGCAATTGGCCAACTTGATTAGTGGGTTGTTGGGAGTTTTCCAGGCTGTATGGCCATGTTCCAGAAGCATTCTCTCCTGACATTTCACCCACATCCATGACAAGCATCCTCAGAGGTTGAGGTGTGTGTTGGTAACTAGGCAAGTGGGGGTTGTATATCTGTGGAATGACATCCAGGGTGGGAGAAAGAACTCATGTCTGTTGGAGGCAAGTGTGAATGTTGCAAAGGGCCACCTTGATTAGAGATGGAAGAGACTTTGTGGACTATCCAGTCCAACCCCCTGCCAAGAAGCAGGAAAATCGCATTAAAAGCAGCCCATTAGCATGTAATGGCCTTGCAGCTTCAAAACCTGACTGGTTCCTGCCTGGGGGAATCCTTTGTTGGGAGATGTTTGCTGGTCCTGATTGATTCTTGACTGGAATGCCCCTGTTTTTGAGTGTTGCTCTTTATTTACTGTCCTGATTTTAGAGTGTGTTTTATACTGGTAGCCAGGTTTTGTTCATTTTCATGGTTTCCTCCTTTTTGTTTCCCCCTTTCATGGTTTCCACCTTTCACTCTAACAACTACCATGTCAGATTACACAGAGAAGCCATTGAAATCCACAAGCATGTGGACAATCTCAACAGAAAGGAGGAAACCATGAAAATGAACAAATTCCAGCTACCAGTATTTAAAAAAACTCTGAAATCAGGACAGTAAATAAAGTGCAAGACTCAAAAAGCAGGGGAATTCATGACAAGAATCAATCAGGACCAGCTAACACCTCCCAACAAAGGATCCCCCGGCAGCAACCAGACAGGCTTTGAAGCTACAAGGCCATTTAGTGCTAATCAAAGTGGCCATTTGCAATGTTCACACGTACCTCAAGCAGACAAGAGTTCTTTCTTCCACCCAGGATATTCCACAGATATATAAACCTCACTTGCCTAGTTTCCAACAGAGCTCACAGCCTCTGAGGATGCCTGCCATAGATGTGGGCAAAACGTCAGGAGAGAATGCTTCTGGAACATGGCCATACAGCCCGGAAAACTCACAGCAACCCAGTGATTCTGGCCATGAAAGCCTTCGTCAACACATGCGAAGTACTGTGGTGCCTCTGCTTACATTTGTCTGGCGTCCAATTGGTGTTGAGCGCAACTCTTGTAACCTTGTTTTTGTTTTTCCTTTGCTGACGCGAACTTGAGCTGGATCCAAGCCCTAGGAAGGCAGACCTTTATTGAACTTACTAGGTGGTTTTTGAAATATTGGCATTTGAGCACTGAGGAATCTTGGGTTTTTTTGCGAGGTAGGGGGGGAACGGGGACTGAGAAAAGAGATTGGTGTAAACATCGTTTTCAAAATGGGGATTAAGACGATTGATCTGGAGACATTTTGTTTAAGGTACTTGAATCCTTCCTTGAGAAACAGTAGATTCTTAATGTCAAGAAATGGCAAACCTACCTTTACTGTAGACATGTAGCTCTGGTTGTAAAGTTTTTGATCCCGAAATAGGCACAGCATGCCTTGGAGGCATCTCTCCCCTTCAGAAACCAGGGCAGACAGTTGCTCTTATTTCCTCCCTTAGTTAGAAAAAAGGCTTCAGCCATGACAAAAGCTGACAGATCAAAACATTGAAATGAAGATATATCTTAGACCTATGATAAATGTGAAAGCAGCCACTGATTGTGCTCTAGGAGTGTGTGATGTTTTGAAATAATGGACTCTCCATGCAAATAAGGGACATGGAATAATTCTAGTGGCGGGAATGTTGTCAAAAAGTAAAGGTTGCAATCTTCCTATCTGATGTACATTTATTTTGTCCAGGTTGAAGAATGGTACTTTAGTTCTTGAAGCTATCTTTAGTATTTGTTGTCGAAGGCTTTCATGGCCGGAATCACTGGGTTGCTGTAAGTTTTCCAGGCTGTATGGCCATGTTCCAGAAACATTCTGTCCTGACGTTTCACCCACATCTATAGCAGGCATCCTCAGAGGTTGTGAGGCAAGTGAGGTTTATATATCTGTGTAATTGTCCAGGTGGAAGAAAGAACTCTTGTCTGCTTGAGGCTGGTGTGCATGTTGTAATTGGCCACTTTGATTGGCATTTATTGGCCTTGTAGCTTCAAAGCCTGGCTGGTTGCTGCCAGGGGTCCTTTGTTGGAAGGTGTTAGCTGGTCTGGATGGAGCCCCCAGTGGCGCAGTGGGTTAAAGCCCTGTGCCAGCAGGACTGAAGACCGACAAGTCGCAGGTTCGAATCCGGGGAGGGGTGGATGAGCTCCCTCTGTCAGCTCCAGCTCCCCAACTGGGGACATGAGAGAAGCCTCCCACAAGGATGATGAAACATCAAAATCATCCAGGCATCCCCTGGGCAACGTCCTTGCAGATGGCCAATTCTCTCATACCAGAAGCGACTTGGTTTCTTAAGTTGCTCCTGACACGACAAAAAAAAAAAAAAAGCTGGCCTGGATTGATTCTTGTCTGGAAGGTAAAGGTTGTCCCCTGACATTAAGTCCAGTCATGTCTGACTCTGGGGTGTGGTGCTCATCTCCATTTCTAAGCCGAAGAGCCGGCGTTGTCCATAGACACCTCCAAGGTCATGTAACCGGCATGACTGCATGGAGTGCCGTTACCTTCCCGCCGGAGCAGTACCTATTGATCTACTCACATTTGCATGTTTTCAAACTGCTACGTTGGCAGAAGCTAGGGCTGACAGCGGAAGCTCACGCCGCTCCCCGGAATCGAACCTGCGACCTTTCGGTCAACAAGCTCAGCAGCTCAGCACTTTAACTCACTGTGCCACTGGGGGCTCCTTCTTGTTTGGCATTCCCCCTTTTTTTTAATGTTCTTTATTTACTGTCCTGATTTTAGAGTTT